TTAGCAGATTCGCTGTACAATGTGTATAGTACTATGAAAACCACTAAGGAGCTGTGGTAGTCTTTGGACCGGAAATATAAAACTGAGGATGCCGAAGCTAAAAAATTCATTGTCGGCGAGATCCTAGACTATAAGATGGTGGACTCCGAAACAGTTATTAGTCAAATGCATAACTCTAAGTGATTCTTCACGAGATTCATGTTGAAGGGATGAGTTTGAGTGAAACTTTCAAGTGGCTACAATTATTAAAAAATTGCCCCCCGCATGGAAAGATTTCAAGAATTATCTGAAACATAAACGAAAGGAAATGAATGTTGAAAAACTAATTGTTAGACTTCGAATTGAAGAAGACAATAAAAGTTCTAAAAAGAATTGGTTCAATCCTGGTGTGGCTAAAGCCAATGTTGTGGAGCATGGTCAAAGTAGTAAGACCCACAAAAACAAGTTTGGGCCATCCGGTGGCAAAGGGACAAAGCTAGGACCGAAAGGTGGAATTTCTAAGAAGAAATTTTAAGGAAAATACTTCAATTGTGACAAAGTAGGCCACAAGTTTTCGGAGTGCAGATTGCCAAAGAAGAAGAAGAAAGAAGCAAATATGGTTGACTACATGACACATGATGTGTCTGAAATTAATCTTGCAGCCGTAATTTCTGAAGTGAACATGGTGGGTTCAAACCCAAAAGAATGGTGGATTGACACCGGTGCTACGAGACATGTGTGCTCTAATAAAGAGTGATTTGCTACATTCGAAGCAATTGAGGATGGAGAGAAGCTGTTCATGGGAAATTTAGCAACTTCTGTGATCAAGGGTCAAGGAAATGTTGTTCTAAAGATGATATTGGGAAAAGAGCTGACTCTTAACAATGTGTTGTATGTGCTGAAAATTCGCAAGAACCTCGTGTTTGGATCGCTTTTGAATAAGTATGGCTTTCGCATTGTATTTAAGTCAGACAAAGTTATTTTATCTAAGAGTGGAATGTTTGTCGGAAAAGGTTATATTTCTGACGGTATGTTCAAATTGAATGTAATGGTTATTAAAACAAAAAATGAATAAACTAAACTCTTCTGCTTACTTGCTTGAGTTTTCCAATCTATGGCATGGTACACTAGGACATGTTAACTATGATACTTTACGTAAACTAGTTAACTTGAATTGTATACCCGAGTTCCACATTGATTCCAAACATAAGTGTGAAACTTGTGTTGAGACAAAATTGACAAGGTCATCCTTTAAATCAATCGAACGAAATACAGAACCATTTGATTTAATTCACAGTGACATATGTGATTTAAAATTTGTAGAAACAAGAGGCGTCAACAAGTATTTCATTACTTTTGTCGACGATAGTACTAAATACTGTTATGTGTATTTGCTCAAAAGTAAGGATGAAGCTATAGAGAAATTTATTCTCTATAAGAATGAAGTTTAAACGCAACTCAATAAGAAAGTTAAGGTGTTGAGAAGCGATCGAGGTGGTGAGCATGAAACACCGTTTGTTGAATTATGTGTGCAACACGGAATCATACATGAAACCAATGCACCTTACTCACCGCAACAAAATGGTGTTGCTGAACGTAAAAATTGTATGCTAAAGGAAATGATGAATGCAATGCTGGTAAGTTCTGGGTTAGCTCAGAACATGTGGGGAGAAGCTATCTTATCAGCAAATTACCTTTTAAAAAAGGTGCCCCGGAAGAAAATGGAAAAGACTCCTTATAAATTATGGAAAGAAAGAAAGTCTTCCTATAAATACTTACGAGTGTGGGGGTGTCTTGCTAAAGTGGTTGTCCCAACACCAAAGAAGGTAAAGATAGGCCCAAAAACTATAGATTGCATCTTCATTGGTTATGCACATAATAGTAGTGCTTATCGATTTCTTGTGTATGATTCTATAATCCCAAAGATACACAAAAACACGATAATGGAATCAAGAAACGCTTCATTCTTTGAACATGTATTCCCATACAAGTCTGAAGAGGAAGCAAGCTCTTCTAAACGGACATATGAGACTATGACTGAAAATAGTCAAGACCAAGAGTTAGAAGAGAAAATTGAGGTTGAACTAAGACGTAGCAAAAGGGAAAGGACAGAAAAATTTTATGGTCTTGATTTTCTGACCTATATGCTAGAAAGTAAACCTCAAAGCTATCAAGAAACTGTAAACTCATCAGAAAGACCTCAATGGAAAGATGCCATTAAAAGTGAAATATATTCCATATTGTAAAATCATACATGGGAGCTTGTGGATCTTCCTCCAGGAAGTAAACCACTAGGCTATAAATGGATTTTCAAAAAGAAAATGAAAGCAGATGGAACTATCGAAAAGTACAAGGCCAGGTTAGTAATAAAAGGTTACAGACAACGCAAAGACCTTGATTACTTTGATACATATTTTCCAGTGACAAGAATAACATCTATTAGGATCATACTTGTGATCGTTGGTCTGCGAAATCTTGAAGTACATCAAATGGATGTTAAAACTGCATTTTTGAATGGAGATTTAGATGAAGAAATCTATATGGAACAATCCGAGAGGTTTTCATCACCAGGATAAGAAAAGAAAGTCTACAAATTGGTAAAGTCATTGTATGGCTTGAAACAAGCTCCAAAATAGTGGCATGAAAAATTTGACAATGTCATGATGGAATGTGGATTTAAAATCAACGAGTGTAACAAATGTGTTTATATTAAAAACACTGAAAATGGTTATGTCATTTTATGTCTTTACGTTGATGTCATGCTTATTGTTGGTAGTAACGATAATATGGTTAAATCCACTAAAAATCTGTTAAATTCGAGATTTGACATGAAAGATATGAGATTACCTGATGTTATACTTGGAATTAAAATTTCACGAACATCAGATGGGATCATTCTAAGCCAGTCACAATATGTGGACAAAATTTTAGATAAGTTTAGTAAGGATGATTCCGAGATAGCTAAAACACCGATAGATACAAGTCAGCACCTATCCAAAAATAAAGGTGAAAGTATCTCTCAAGTAGAATACTCGAGAATTATTGGAAGTCTGATGTACTTGATGAGTTGTACAAGACCAAACATAGCCTACACAATTAGTAAACTGAGTAGATACACGAGTAATCCTGGAGCTGATCACTAGAGAGGAATAATAAGAGTATTGAGGTACCTTAGATATACTCATAATTTTGAACTGTACTATACCAGATATCCAGCAGTCATTGAAGGATACAGTGATGCTAATTAGATATCTGATATAAAAGACTCAAGGTCCACCAGTGGATTTGTATTCACATTCGGAGGTACTGCCATATCGTAGAAATCCTCTAAGCAAACGGTTATAGCCAGATCTACGATGGAATCTGAGTTTATAGCTCTAGATAAATAAGGTAAAGAGGCTGAATGGTTGCACAATTTTTTAGAGGATATTCCAAGATGGTCAAAACCTGTGCCAGCAATTTGTATATATTATCACAGTCAATCAGCAATAGGAAGGGCACAGAGTTACATGTACAATGGTAAGTCTAGACGTATACGTCGTAGACACAATACCATAAGACAACTACTCTCAACTGGAGTTTCACTATTGACTATGTAAGGTCAAAAGATAACATTGCAGATCCGCTAACCAAAGGGTTAAATAGAGAGTTATTTGGGAAATTATCGAGAGGAATGGGACATAAGCCCTAGGACGGGTAAGTCAATACAAAGGAAACCCAACCTAGTTGACTGGAGATCCCAATATCTAGGTTCAAAGGGACAACCTAATTGTAAAGACTTGATTGAATCACTGTGGAGGATGTTACCTCATGTCCATTCCTATGATGTAACAGTGATGCCCGTAAGGATGAAGGATAAGCAATAGGCTTTTCATGATTCTTATGC